TATACTGTATAAATTATTACCACAATATTTCTATTACATAAGATACTTAGAGAATTATATAGAATTAAAAAAGTAAACGTTTTCTTTCAATTTTAGGTGAAACGATATACATGTAATTTTAGAAATGATTAAGAAAATTCTATCGAAAAAGCTATTTCTATATATCAACAATATTCATACATATGTACTTGTATATATATATATATATATATATATATATAAATATATATGCCTACAATATACACACACTACATATCTGAAATTGTAGTTTGATTACTTAAAAGACTAATAACAAAAAAAAAAAAAAAAATTAGATACATTATAAACAATTTACAACTTTTAAAATTAAAAAGAAAAAAAAAAAAAAAAAAAACAAATGAATAAAAAAATCTATTTTATGGACTAAAGTCTAGGAAAAAAAAAAAAAACGAAAACCCGTAAGTAAATAAAAAAGTTATGATTGATACACTTTTATAAATAAATGTTTCAAGTATATTTTTGTGCTAAATATTTTGTATTATTTTTACTAATACTAAAGGAAGATTCAAAGAGTATGAAATAGGATAGGATTGTATCGTATCGAATACAAATGAAAACTGATAAAAATATATATATATATAAACAATTAATTATAAGAAAAAAGTGAATAAAAAGAAATAAATTAAAATTCTTGATATCAATAAAAATTTTTAGAATTTTAAATATTCACAGAAAGTCTCATAAGCAATTCACTTTGCACGTTACCCAGTTACCTAGAATCGCCTATATTCAGAAGATATATATATATATATATATATTTTTTTTTTTTTTTTTCAAGAAATAAATAAACACTCAATTCAGAATGTTGGGCAGCATTTTATAAATAGTTCAGTCGATTTCTCAATAGTCATTTAAGCGCCATTGTTGATACTTGCAACCTTCAAATGAGTTTTTCATGAAAAACATGTTTTACGTCTATCACTGTACTACTGGTTTTTTCAAATTTCGCTTTATTGTCCGATTGAAATTCCTGAAAGCGTATCATTGGCGACTTGATTGTTTGACAAACAAAATGAATTAGTGAATTCGATGGGCGATTCTCGAATCTTTTTAAAAAAAAAAAAGACGCGATCTCGATGTAAATCATTTTAACAAAGGTTTCCTAGTTATGCTTTAAGAAAACTGTTGCTTCATTACCTACCTGGCTACCTATGTAAATGTATGCATCACTCATAGCAGTAAAAATTCGGGAAAATTTATACTTGAGAAAACGTTTAATTTTCATATATAAATTTGGAAAAAAATGACGTTATTAGTAGCTTTAGCGCAGATATGATAACACTATCACTTAAGGGAAGTGAATTTTATTATCTGTATAGGTGTTCTCTTCCGATTAATTACCGTTGGAAAGTCAAGGACATTAAACCGCACATTCTTGATAGAAGTGTAATTCTATTTATATAGGCCTTTGGTTTATTCTTCAAGTGTCCTTCAAAACCGGACTTAATCGCAATTGCCTTACAATTCGTTAACGAATATCACTTCGATACTCGGAATCGTGGCCATTTTTCTCCATATCGTGGAGATCCTTACAACTGACTGATTGCAAAATCAGATGATATAGAAATATATATATATATATATATATATATATATTTTTTTTTTTTTTTTTTTTTTTTTTTAGTATTACAAACGAAATTAATTACTTGCTATGAAGGCAAGAAAGAAAAAAAAAGTAGAAGGTATAAAAGCGGTGAGCGTAAAAATTATTTCTTTTTTTCTCTTTTGATTTTATATAAATTCGCGTCATCTAAACATTGAGTGCGACTGCATGAAATTTTATTTATACAACATCATCAGAAAGTATATAATTATGATGATGAAATTTTTATAATACGGAAAAAAAGGAGACGAAAGATCGTAGGGAAGCCACTTACTATTAAAAACTACTGTACTGTATGTTGAAATGTAGAAGAGAAATGAAGAAGTGGTTGTGGCAATAAATGCGATTTTTTTTCACATTTTTTTTTTTTTTCTTCTTCATTTTCTGTGAAAGAAACACCCCATTGATTCATTTTAAAGTGAAATGAATGAATCAAATAGTAGAATAATAAAAATAAATGAAAATTTTAATAATAATAACAGAAACATTGTAAGATGTCTTTGTAAGAAGAAGAAATTGTTGTGGTGCTTAGTTTTCTTTTAATTTTGTTTTTATATGTTCTTCACTTCGTCTTTTATTATTAATTTTGTATATATAGAGCATATGCCTTGGAAAGTCTTACAATTATTTTTTATTTTTAATTTATGATATTTTTAATGCACTGCAGTTACATTTAGAATTTTGTAGCATTACTGTATTACGCTTAGGCAGTATTATGCGCGAGAGGGGCGAGAGGACGTGTAATATATAAATAAATAGAACGTAGCAGAGAAAAATGTCAAGTGAAAAAGGAAAACTTCAAGAATTTATAGCAGCTTTATGAAATATTGACTTTCAACTGTTCGTGTGTCAGTGTAAAAGGAGAAATTTTTCTTCGTGTCCACTTCAAGTGGCTGTAAGACATGTCCTGGTAATGTTTGCTACATTAATCTGATGATTTTATTCCAGCCAGAAGAGAGAGCGCGCCATACATTTTAAATAATTTGATAAATTTCTTAAATTCTTTTTAACAATATCCTTAAATTAATTTAAACAATATTAAAATATAATAAAAATAATAATAATAATAATACAAATAATAATAATAAATATAATAAAAATACTAATAAAAATATTTGCCTTTACGGAATTATATTTTAGGAATTATTTGCAGGCGACTCTTATTACCAAAAAAAAAAAAAAATTAAGATCCAACGACTCATCAGACTATTCGCCAATTACGAGCTTATCGGTAGGTACAAGTTCTTTACAGAAATAATTGCAAATAGTTTACATAATCAAAGAAGGATGCAAAAAAGGAATCCAAGGATGCAAAGAACAAATTATAACTGACGTTGTGCCATAATAGGCCAAACTATACAAGAGGAAAGGAATTTAAGTCTAGCATACATGGATTATAAGAACGGATTTGACCCGAAAGCGCATGACCACCTCACTACATTTCTTGCGCCAACCAGAAGATAATTGAATAATCAAGCTATGTATAGGTAATGAAATAACCAATCGAATTCCGATCTGGAGGCCGTTTGTCAAGAGCGACGCACTGAGTTTGCTATGATTTTGCTCAGGATTGCAGACAATTGAACAAGGAGGAAGATGAGGTCAGATACCGGGATACCGAGGTTTGTATTGTAACCATCTAATGTGCATGGACGTATTGTCGCAACAAAAAAAGCTACATAGAGCCCATCATTTCCGCCCACCAATTTAGTAAAGGCAATGGCATGGAATTTGGATGGCAAAAGTTCAAAAAGATAAATGCCAAATTTGGAGAACTCCGTTAAAACGAAGACTCATTTTCATTTCACACTGGTAACATAATGGAAAAGTGGGGCATCCAAGAAGGCAATGAATAACTGATTTTCTCGAATGAAAAGATGTGGTGGCGACTCGCATTTCAGAAAACGTTAGTGACGATATCGGAAACCAGTTTCAATTCACAGCAAGAATGTGAAGCTAAGCTATACTAGTCCGCATCTACGTCTTTGGAATAGTTGAATGGAGTAGCAAGGACCTTGGTGAAGGAAATAGACCAATATGAGCGATCGTGTACAAGTGCAACGCAATAGCGAGTTAAGCTGCTGCATCAACTCGGCGGCTGTGGGATAGCAAGTCCACCATCGAGTCTATGTTATGCACAGTTGAAAAACTTAAGGACATCCCTTAGATCGCAAACAAGGCGCCGTATTACAGAAGTGTTGATGAAAACAGATAAATAATTAATTACATGCCACTAAATTTAAGTAGCAGCAGCTATCAGATATCAAGCAACGTATTATATGGCACCAACAGATATTATGTAATTGGATCCAAAAACCGGAGATACGATAGTTCAAACGAGTACATATTAATGGTTAGACAGAAGGGAGCTAGCGGAAGACTTTATCGTTGCTATACAAGAACAAATAATATCTACACGGAATTACCGCAAGAAGATATATAATGAGACAAGAGGCTTATGTCGAAAATGCAAAACTTGTATTGAAAAAATAAATCATACGCAAATCGGCGAAGGGACAACATTAGCCAACAGACAGCACGCGCGGAGACATAGCTAGGTGTGCAAAATAAAGCATCAGAGATTGGCAGAAAAACACAATATCCAGATGCTTCATGTCCCATATTACAAGAGCAGGCAGGGTGTCGCTAATAGAAAACGATAAGTAATAACTAATCGAGCTATCAACGCCAATAAGCCGGTCGTACTAAATTGGCAGAACAAGATTATCAACACTGCATATGTCATAGTCCCGATACGAAATAAAACGTACAAACAGCGTACTCCAATAAGGTTACTAAGCACTACACTAAGCTGGCACAAGTTTGTTAGTATAGTTCCCATCGTGATACCATGTACCGTAGACGATAACGACAACAACACGCCTAAAATGTTTAGATATATATATAAGGCACTGTAGAAGACAGAGAATGCTTTGCTGCTCTTTATAGTGAACTTGACACGCAGTTCTATTTGCAAAATAGCTGAGCCAAATCCCTAGGTGTAATACACCCGGGGACGGATGAATTCCCAGTCCTAAGCTGTGGATTGTAATAATTCGTTATAATAATTATAATAATAATAAATAATAATGAATAATAATGATGATAAAAATAAATAATAGTAACAGCAACAATTATGAATAAATAATAATAATAATAATAATAATAATAATAATAATAACAATAAGAAATAAGCTAATCAAGTTAGTTTAAAGGGAGGGGTTTGAGGGGAACAAATTAACGTGAAACTACGGTTTAATTGTAAATGATTTTTTAATAAGAAAGTAAATAAATTGAAAAAAGAAACGAGTGATGAGGATGGGGGGTGAGTGTATTACTTGCATGCAAACAAACGTACAATGGCCGGCCTATGTAGTACCCAAACACCCACTTTGGCCATTTGAGCTTGAACGCCCTTTGCTTGTAGTCCTTTGACGGCTCCTTCTGCATACGCTGGACACTCAAAGTCCACAAAACCGTAGCCTAAAATCGTAGTATACCATCAAAAATTCAATTAATCATTTTCTGAATTAAATCAATTAAGAAACGAATGCGTAAATATTAAAACAACATCTAATATATATAAATATATATATATATATATATATATATATATATATATAACTAAAAAAAGCAAGCATTCCTTCTTATTCAAAATTATTATTAAAATTTGTTAGTTAGAATTTGGAAATATTATTAGGATCCTTTCTTCTTCTTTTGCACGAGATGGGCTTGTAAGGCCTGATTAAAAATTTATTACACAAATATCCCATAAGGACATAGAATTTGCATTTCTTAAAAAAACAAGTAAGAGAGTTTATATTCGCATAGGGGGGCGAATGCTAAATACCCATTGCCTCCTCACACATGCTTATTCTTGATTGTATTGATTGATGGTCTTAATTTCATCCATTCATATTTCACATACATTTATTTATGTTAATTATGTTAAATTACAAATAGATAGATAGACATCTAAAGCCTAAAAGTTGTTACGTATTCATAACAAATATCGAATGAATTTCACTTTTATTAAATTTTCTTTGCAGACTATTTGACTTCGAAGCGGATCGCGTCCCTTTAAGCGGGCGGCGGAATTGTTAATAGTTTCAACAATATGCGGACAGATGGATTAAAAGCATGTCCTTGATCAAAAATATCGTTCATATCTTTTCATCATTTTCATTTTTTCTTAGCGACAGTGGGTATCAATATCAATATCAATTATATTCTATATACAATTAACTAGGGGTGCATTTAATGATATAAATAAAAAATGTAATTAAACTTTTTTTTCTTTGTTTTAATTTTGATTTATAAAAGAAAAAAAAACGAAATTAAAAAACAAAAATAAAATTTGTAAATATGTGGAAAAATCATAACATGATTGAAAAATTATTATTAATAAAAAAAAAAATTATTATTAAGATTTCAAGAAATATATATTTTTTCAAATTTCGTTAACAATATTTACAACATAACAAAAGAGAAAAAGATAAACCTTTATACACACACACATTGAGATAAAGAATACAAGAAATTAATAATAATAACGAAAGTAAAATACAGATGAATAGTATGGTGAAGAGAAAAAATACCTTTACATTTGTTTGTTGTCTTGTCTAAAATGGCTTTGGTTGATATAATGGTTCCATATCTAAAAGAAACAACGCACACAAATACATTATCACATTAAAATATCATATAATATCATATTATGTACTTAATGACACACAGAATAAATAAAAATAGATTCAGCAAAATTGTAGTCATTTTGTTGTTGTTGTCTCTGCGCCTTTAAAAGTGGCCCCAAAATATTTAGTGTTTCACTTAATTGATTGATCACCATTACAGATGTTTGTAAAGACTCTCAGATCGATATTAGAAGTGAAGATGAAACTTATATCGACTAGCGCCGAGAGAACGTATGCTATGTTCTCGCTATTTACCTAAGCTTACGTGACAGCGAGACATGTTCCGGACATGTAGATAAAAAGATGGATAAGACTAAATCGATTCATGATCTTTCGTCCAATAATAATAAGGAAGTAGTTGCTTATGATCATGCAAGTAATCATTGACGGGCAATTTTTCTATTCATTCACCCATTTTGAGTGCCTGCTATCAAAGACCTCATTAAATATATTATATATATATATATGTTATGTATAAATTCTGAAACGATTTAACAGATTCCTTTGATGCGTACGCTGGTCTGTATTTCTGTATACTGTCTGTACTGCTTGTTGCAACGATCACTGATATGTATTCGTGGATGCTGAACACGGCGAACAAGTTTGAAAGTGGCCGTCATCTACCCATAACCCAAGGTCATAATAAACTCGAACCTTATTTAATAATTTAAGCAGAGCTCTAAACTTTAGTGTGTCTATCTATTTGCAAGAGTGATCTATAGAATCAATGTAGAAGCGATTCCGATCGAATAACTGGCATAATTACACTTAATATTCCGCTTGTGCATAAAATCATTCGCATTAAAAGTATGAGGTAAGCAGGATGCAGAAGAAAGAGGAGACGGTTGTACCAGAAATGCTCAACCTGATAAAAGAAACTGAAAGAAAATTGACCAATGACATTATTTCTCAGCGTAGCGTTCTTTTAGCTCGATTCACTCTTCCCGATACGGTTTTCGGAATAAGAGATGTCGAGCTCGTTAAAATAGCCGTCGACAGTAAATTTCATCGCTTCTTTGTTGGAAAATTTTATACTGTCGAACCGTTTGTCCCAGTTTGGGAAAAGAAATCGACTCGAGAGAATAAATTCTAGCAAATAAGGTTTGAATTCGGCAATCGCGGCAAGGGAAGTGCGAATTGGTACATTGTCCTGAGAAAATGCACTGCAAGTACAACAAGTTTGCGAAAGTTTTGTTACTGATTCTTTTTCCTTATACCGCGCACATCTCAGGAAGTCTATGCCATGAGCGGGAGATGTGAGCTCTTTTTCAACCTATGGGTTTAATTGTCCATTCCATTCTTGTTCCAAATGAGACCCACACTCTGTGTAGAACTCTAGTTTTTTCCGGCTAGCTTGCACATTACCAGTCGCTGGTCATTCAATATCATCCGACATATATTCTTTATTATTTCTGACGTGGTTACCGCATTTAATTGATCACTGCTATGCATCCCTTGGTGCAGCTGGACTTACTCATTAAACGAACTGAGAATTTTTGAATGGAAAAATTGTAACACATATGCTTGAACAGTTTTTTTTTTTCATCTTTGCAAATTTACTGGAAGCCTGCACTACTGGCGAACTATATACGAACCAAACTATAATACGAAATAATGAAACGTCTCTAGGCGTTGCTACCTTTAGGCTATAATTAGGTTTTTTCAGGTCGGGCGTTTCTGGAACTGTCCTCGTATCTTGGAATTGGCTTCGTATACATGTGTGCAGCTATCTTTATTAAAAAGTTTTTTTTTTTTTTTTTGTTTAATAGAGTAATGAGCAAATTGCGTACAGCACAAAGTAATCAAAGTTATGTTCTTTCTAAAGAGAATGTAATTTCGTTTTGGTTTGGAGGAAACATTCACATATTGATTATTATTGAACTCATTGTAAGCAAGGACAAGGAAAAGAATTTTTGTATTAAAAAAATTTTCACACTTCATTCATTATAAGAACGCATAGGCTTGGAATCGATTGGATATTCAAATCTATTTGAAAAAATTTACTCTAACGCTGAAGTTATATATGAGAGAATGAATAAAAAGAATTACTTACTGTGCACACATAGTAACTAAATCTTTATCGGTTGTGCCTTGTTGTAAGCCGCGTATATAGAGATTTGTTTTTGACAATTGTTCACCTTGTTGATTTTGTGTTGTACCATTGTTAGGACCCATTGTTGTATTTGTATTGGTATTACTCAGACTAGTGCTTAATGTTCCGCTTTGGGATCCCGTATTCGATGAGCTGCTTGAGTTTGTATTACTTGGTGATGCTGCTGTTGGTACCCGTTGACCGTACTGAAAATAATCCATAATAAATAAAAGCAATCAATGCAAAGAATTAATTAAATAAGTCAATATAAAATTAATATGTAATAAATTTTATTATTATTATTTTTTTTTTTTGTTTCATAAAATGTTTATTAAATGTTTTTTCTTTCCTTTTTTTTTTTTTTGTGTTTTTGTCGATGTTTTCCCTGTTGCTAAAATCTAATATCGAGAGCGTACACAGTAAATTTATCATCAAATGATTTGAGAGCACAGGTGTTGTATAATTTAACAAAGGACCCGAAGGGTTGAAAATGTAAGCAAACATACATATATATATATATATATATATATATATATATATATAGATGCATACATGTCAAATATGTAAATTTTATGTTTACTCAAATGCACACACATACACACGCAGAGACAATTTTCCATAGAGTAATAATGAACTTTATATTGATGTAACTAACCGTCGTCTCCGATATTCTCCATTTGTAGGTATATATGTACAATAAGTAGACATCGAAATTTATTTTTTCATTTGGATTTTTGTGGATTTATGCCATGTGTCTCCATATTTTGACTGCTTTTTTCTTTTTGTTTTTATTTTATTATTTGGCTTTTTTTTTTTTCCTTTTTGTTTCTCTGTAACAGTTATGCGGTGAATACATAATTTATATCTTTATCCATAACGGTTGTTGTTGTTGTTTAGCTTGTATTTTGAAATGATGCCAATAAAATTTTTAATGTTTCATGCATTCCAATAAATATAATACGTGCATACATATATATATATATATTAGATGGACCATTTGTATTTTCAGCATAAAAGGATTTAGATTAACACAGCTAAAGCCAGAGAACAAGAGATATATCATTAACAAATTTTTATAATTTTATTATTTATATGCAAAGATTATAAAGTTTTACAACAGTAACTTTCCTATTATTTCTCTTATTTAATAATAAAAAAAAAAAAAAAATAAATAAAATAAAATAAAATAAATACATTTCTACACAAGTAAGGAAATTATGGTGAATCTATGATACTTATTACTTGAGTGTTTGTGCATGTTTGTGCGCGTGTGCGTATGCGTCTGCAATGTAAAATTTCAAGCTTGATTCGTAGACTTAACTTGAGAACCTGTTCGAACCCATTCTATCTCTATATTTGCAGGGATGAACCTCTCGCCAGCGAACATCTGTTCGACGGGTGGAGATACGAGTGCGGATAACTCGACTCAGAAGGCTGTACTTGAATGTATGAAACCTTGGGGCCTTTTTCTTCAACATATATATATGCATTTTGGAAACGATTCTATTAACTTATTTTTCTTTTTCGTACAAATGCGGCAAATGATTACGATTAATAACGTATTCGATAATAGTACGTTCGTTGGTCAGTCTATAAACCGACTGAAATGGCACTTCGAATTTTGACAGCATCATGTCTAGACGTTAAGAATAAGAAATCAAATAATCATTCTCTTAAGCAGATATTGAAACACGCAAAGGTTTTCAATTATTATGACTTCATATGTTTTGTTTGCTAAAAGCGAACTATTTGTGAAGGCTAGTCCGGGCGCACAATGTTGCAGCACAATGATGTGCAACAGTTTCTGTACTTGTGCTCGTAACATTGAGAAATATTCGACAAGATGACATCAAATATAGTTTAGTCCTATGCACTTGTCCGTCTGTATGTTTGCTTGTTGCTAGAGCATATACGATTGTACAAATTGAGATAGGAAGGCGAAATTTCTAAGAAAGAGTTGTTCTAAGAAAGAGTTGGTAAAAAAAAAAAAAACATATCATCATCGAAAATATCAGTGTAGAAAAACTTTCAATCGATAAACCGCCACGCCTGTAATTTACAAAATAAAATGTAAAATTTAAATATTGGTTTGAGATGATGAGCACACAAATGCGTAAAGTTGTATTTTGAGAAATAAGTAAAATTTTGTGAAAATGACATTGTGTGAACTGCAAACCTCAGTGTAAACATCTTATGTGTGCAAGAAAATATTGTTATTAAATATTTACCGGATCTTAAAATATTTGAAATTTCAATTTATAATTAAATCATTTTAGGAATAGTTTTAATACAACACGTACGTAATATACATAAAAATGTCATGCAAATAGTTTACGTTTTTGTTCTGCAAGAATCTTTGATGACAGATATGAAATTCTTCATTTAACATCTAGGTTCATTGTTATCGCAGAAAGAAACAAGCAACCAAACCATTATAATCGGTTAAGGTCGACCATTAAATACCCTACCTTAAATCATTTCATCTCTAATCGTGCGCTTCACTTAATTTCATTATAATATACGAAATATCATTCGTCGTTATGTGAGCGAATCCAAATTGGACAAATTACTATTCTTATGAATGCCCAAAATTAGACCTCATCACCGTCCATAAAAAGAAAACCATAAAAAACATACCAATGCAAATATACATCTGCCAAATCGATATTTTAGACTAATGTCCATACGTCCAATATGTGTAATCACAATGTTATAAAAATTCGACCTTGTTATTATATAAAGGCGTTTTTGTGAGAGCATGTTCAGTAAATGGCCTCATGCCATCAAAATTTTCTATTTCTATTTTCTAGGCCAAAATGCAATCTTCTACCGAATTTGTCAATAAACACTCGATATACAGTCTTTCACTTTAAATGGTTTTTGTGTAAAAATGGCTCGAATCAACAATCAATATCATTCAAGCAAGGTTTGTTTGAATATTCCAAATTTAGTTAAAGCATGCCAAGCATTGTCACATGTCGGTTGAACACAAAGGTACATGGACAGATGTAAGACGCACAGGCGGACAATCAGAGAGATGGAAAGAGAGAAAGCTTACATCGTGTAATCGAAGATCTTTTCGGCTGATACGCACAACAAACTCACAAATGTACCACACCCTGGTTAGAGCATAAAAATAAACAAAAAAAAAAAAAAAAAATAAATATATATATATATATATAAAAAAAGTTTAAATTTAAAAAAAGACTTGCAAATACTTTATGCTCTATGGACGTAACGTTTGATTATTAAAAAGTGTTGCTGTTTTTCCCCCACCCCCGTAAGTTACTAACCTAAACAGGAACTTAATATACTCTTGACCCTTAAGTAAGGAAAGTAAAGCATATAAGCAAGAAAGCAATTCTATCTGCAGACTTTATAAAAAGGGCAACCAACAGTTGGCAAGATTATATTGTTATGCACTATTTAAATAAGTGTGCGTATGTGCGTGCATATGTGCTTATGTTTGTGTTTGTATCATCATAGTTTTACAAATAATTTCCGCAATATGCGTTTAATGTTGAAAACATGTCATCATACGTACTGTTCTATTTTGTTTTTGTATTCTCGTCACATATACACAAATACGCATATAAGCATGCCGATGTTTACTAAAAATGGATTATTATGTCATGCCATCGAGCAATCTAGACATAGTCGTATACGTGTATGCGTACGCCGCATGCATATATCTATACACTTAATAAATATATAAATATATAATGTTCTTGTGATGCAAGTAGTCAACCATTATAACCATATAATGAAAGAACTAATGTATGTATGCATGAGCGTACGAATATGCCATACATAAAGAAAATCATGCATATATATATATATATATATATATACTGAGGAGATGCCGAAGGGGAGCAATCGGCGGGAGTTTGTTATTTAAACTTAATTTGCATAAGGAATGGATTGGAATGGAATGCAGTGAGTTTGCATGTTACTGCCACACAATGATAACGCATATAATACATATTCAAAACATGTTATATGCATGTACGCAAATGCACACACGCTCAAACATAATTACAATTACTGTGTAACTGAAATAAAAAAAAAAAGAACACTTGAGCTACTATTTAATACGTTTATACAAGTTTGTGTGCATATGTATATATGTATATATCGTATCTTGTTATTAATAATACTTGAGACGCGCTACATCAGTTAAAATACATTTGTTATCTACTTAATAAAAATAGAAATTGTAGGACTGCGTGCGTGACGCTTGTGCATACATATGCCGCTTCGTATGCTTTTTATCAAGAGCTGTAATATTCTGTCATATTTTTCTATCCGTTGCTAAGGGATGGAGTTGTTGAACATTCAGATCATATATACATAATTTAGCGTCCATACAATTTTAAATCTCGCTGTTGCAAGAATTTGGGGAAAAATGTGAAATCCGGCAGATATGTTCAGGTTGAATCGCGCAAGCCATGTTTAGAAGTAGACCCAATCAATCTTATCAATCATTCAATCATTCTGACTTATTTTTATTAAATTATTCTACGGTCATCCGGGTTGAATGGGATTTCAGTTCATATATTTAGATTAGATAGAGTATTACCATCGAACAAAGAAACGTGACTGTCAATTCGGCATATCCTCGCTCAATCGTTAGCGTGGTAGATTATATTTTGATGAAGATTGTTGAATGGTCGTACAAGTTGTGAGTGTTAAGTCGGTAAAGACATAAAGACAACTAATGACTAGGCGCACGGCTCCTAGGCACCGACAGCTATTTATCTCTCTCTCTCTCTCTCTCTCTCTCTCTCCCCACTTTTTTCTGACCTTCGGTGTGTTACATATACAGGCGAGATACACTGTGTGATTGCTCATATAAATACATAAAAGTCTCAAAATGTAAATGGTCGCGGTCGGCCCATTAATTCTTTAACGGTTAAGACGATACAAGTAAGAAAATTATAATCGGGTATAACGCAATCCCTTGCACCATCACTTGCATCACTTTTTTGAAAACATTCCTAATTTGGCCGGGATAGGGCTATAAAGCCAACCATAGCTTAATCCGAACTGTTTTACAGAACTCTATTATGGCATTTGCACAGGTCTGTTAACGGATTTGATAAATCGTTTTGCGAATTTGTCTTCACAGACTTGCTGTATCTCCTGTTGATAATGACTAATGAAAAAAACCTGTGCTGTCATCGCAGTTTATATTATACTAGAGCAA